TAGACAAGTTACGCTGGCATATTATAGGATTACCCGAGGTCCGAAGATAGGGGGAGGACACGGTAATCCTCGAATCCGGCAACTTGCTCTATCACCGGGAGGGCAACCATCTGTCCCAAGGAGGTGTCGCATTTATCGTCCACAAGTCTCATGTTAACAACGTTGTAAATATTGAGAGTGTGTCGACGAGGGTTGCGTACCTTATACTAAGAATCACCAAACGGTATTCGCTGAAGGTCATACAGGTTTACGCACCAATCTCGGCACAGAGGAAATGTATGAGGATATCTCTAGAGCCATGCATTCCTCCAAAACCCAATATACGGTGTTAATGGGAGACTTCAATGCAAAACTAGGCACAAGAGAGAACGGTGAGCTGAAAGTAGGGTAATTTGGAATAGGGCAACGGAACCCAAGGGGCCAGCAGCTGGCCAACTTCGTGGAGAAAGAGGGACTCTTTATGATGAACTCTTTCTTCCAGAAACGGCCCCACAGGAAGTGGACCTGTTCGAGCCCCGACGGTTCAACAAAAAATGAGATTGACTTCATTATGACGACCAGAGGACAACTGTTCAGTGATGTCTCCATGGTCGCGAGGGTGAAAACTGGTAGCGAACATCGAATGGTTAGAGGTACACTGAACCTAAACGTTAAGTTGGAGAGGTCTCTTCTAATGAAGTCAACGCTCCGTCCCCCTCGAATTACAAAACCATTTTCAGTGCCTAGAAGACTGCAATGAAGTTGACGATATGAATGACAAGCTCGTGGAAACTGTCAATGCGGTCGGAGCTAAGTTCTGCAAGACCTGCCGCAGAAGAACACAAAAACTCTCCGATCACACTCTTAATATCATGGCTGTTAGACGGGAGATGAAGCTACATTCTTCAACAGATTTGACAGAATACAGGCAACTGAACAGACAGATCTCCAAATGCGTACGGCGGGACTTACGCAACTTCAATACAGCTTGTATTGAAGAAGCGATGGAGCGGAAACAAGGCTCCCAAGTCTTTGCGAAACATCTGTCTGCCAGAAAGAGCCAAAGGTCGAAGCTGAAGACAGAATGTGGCAGCATCGTTTCCGGGACACCTGAGATTTTGAGTGAGATTGAGAGGTTCTATGGGCAGCAGTACACGTCATCGTTGGAGCCATATGCAAGTGTGAGTAACGATCCAAGAGCGAGTATTATCCGACACTATTCCGAAGATATCCCGGACGTCAGTCTGAGCGAGATTAGAATGGCTCTCCAGCACCTTAAAAACGGCAAGTCCCCAGGCGAGGATGGAATTACAGCGGAGCTTTTGAAAGCGGGTGGAAAATCGGTACTTGAAGTCCTTCAGAAGCTCTTTAATTCCGTCCTCCATGGTGGCACTACTCCAAAGGCGTGGAGCAGAAGTGCGGTGGTAATGTTCTTCAAGAAAGGCATCAACGCTCTCTTGAAGAACTACAGACCGATTTCCTTTCTGAGCCGCGTCTACGCGCTGTTTTCGAGAGTCATTACGAATCGTCTCGCACGCAGACTTGACGACTTCCAGCCTCCCGAACAAACCGGTTTCCGAAAAGGCTTTAGCACCATAGACCACATACATACCCTTCGGCAAATTGTACAAAAGTCAGAGGAGTACAATTTGCCACTATGTCTGGCGTATGTGGACTATGTGAAAGCCTTTGATTCCGTCGAAATTTGAGCGGTGCTGCAGTCCCTTCAGCGGTGCCAAGTAGACTGTCGGTATATCGAAGTGCTGTAGTGTTTGTACAGTAGAGCTACGATGGCTATCCGAGTACAGAACCAGAGTACGAAACCTATCCAATTGCAGAGAGGTGTAAGACATGGTGGTGTTATATCCCCGAAACTCTTCACCGCTGCATTGGAAGACGTTTTCAAGCTACTGGACTGGAAACGATGCGGTATTAACATCAATGGCGAGTACATCACTCACCTTCGATTTGCCGACGATATAGTCCTTATGGCAGAATCGCTGGAGGACCTAAGCACTATGCCCAATGACCTCAATAGTGTCTCCCAACGGATAGGTCTTAAGATGAACATGGACAAAACAAAAATCATGTTTAATGTCCATGTTACACCTACGCCGGTAGTTGTTGGGAGCACTAAGCTCGAAGTTGTTGACGAGTATGTTTACCTGGGACAAATGGTCCGACTAGGTAAGTTCAACTTCGACCGAGAGGTCAATCGACGGATTCAACTCGGCTGGGCAGCGTTCGGGAAACTACGACACATCTTCTCGTTAGACATACCTCAAAACCTGAAAACGAAATTGTACAACCAGTGCGTGTTGCCAGTGATGACCTACTAGACTTGGAAGTGTTCATCATAATCAAGGCGGGCAAGTGTGTACGTAACACTTTAGGCTCCTCACTCGTTAAATACAATAGAATAATAATTAATTTGTTATATATGTTACAGTAAAGTTATATGTTTCGCTTTAGTTGAAAACTATATTTATTATAATAAACTGATCTATATTAACATAATAATAATAATTTAAAAAAATTCTGCAAGGGCTTATTTAATTACTGACTCTTTTATTGTAGTAATATAATGAGTGTTTAGTCATTTATTTTTAGAAATCTTTAGTACCTGGCTTAAAACTTTAATAGGGTGTTGTTGCTTTCAGATAAAACCGAAAATAAAATAAAAATATAAACAAAAATTTTAAATCTAACAACTGAACACTATATTTTAATATAATAAACTGATCTATATTTATATTATAATAATAAAAAAAATCTGCAAGCGCTTATTTAATAACCGACTCTTTTTAGTGTAGTAATATATTGAGTATTTAATCATTTATTTTGGAAATATTCAGAACCTGGCTTAATACTTTAATAACGCGTAGTTACAATAGGTTTACCTCTGCGTTGCGCTTGATGAGTGCAGGTGGCCGAAGGCCCAATTCCCCCCCATTACATGGTAGCGGAATTAAAGAAAAGACTACCCCAGGACGGTACTAGCACCCCTGGAGAATCCCTCGCTGAGCATCCACGACCAAACTACTCTACTCCTGAGCGTGGGTGCCCAGGCTGCCCCGCGTATTCTGGGGGAAGGGGGGGCAAAATTCCGCTCGCGACTAAAACTGCTCGGGGCAAGATGAGCAATAAGACCAAGGCGACCTCTGTCATGCTATCCGTGAATTTTTCAGGGGACATTTATCAGGGGACTTAATTCCAACCTTAACGCTGTTCATCACCATCTAGAGACGGCGAAGCCGGCCTTGCTTTTTTAACCGATACTCAGTTGTCCTCTCCGGCTGATACTTCATATCTCTCCTACCCGGGGTACAAATTAGAACACTCCTTTGTGCCTCGGGCTGGGGTTTGCGTATACGTCAGAGAGGACATCTGTTTTCGATGCCTCGGCAGTCTTGAAGGTACGGACCTGTCCATTCTATGTCTGCGCGTAGACAGCGACGACCATCCCCGCGTCTACGGGTGCCTCTATAGGTCCCTATACATAGATGAATAAAATATGTATCTAGATTTAACATTAAGGTGAAAGCTCCAGGGTAACCCGCGAAATTCAAATTTTCTTACGTTTTTTGCAATTTGTAGGTCAGTGTCAGGTTGTATGTTTAATAACATATGATTCGCGACCGTAACGAGTACGTATTTACAGAATTATAATCATTATAATCAACAATATAACCCTCTAAGTTCGTATAATCCCATTGTATGGCTATTACCAGAAAAACTCATTCAAAGGCATTATATGAACTTGGAGGGTTGTATTAGTGATTTTAATGATAATAATTCTGTAAACACATACTCGTTACGGTCGCGAATCATATTTTATTTTTTTCACTATGGGATATAATATAATATATATTACACTTCGAGATATAAATTAATATCGCTTACTATACATTTCATATGGAACCGTTTACACTGAGCTATAATATATATTACATCTCAAGCTATAAATATTTTTTCGATCGACCGAGCGATATTTTCATATTATATTTCGCCCCCTTTACCCCGTACACCGTTCTGCGGGGGCGCGGAACGGTGTGCGGGGTAAAGGGGGTAATCCAATGACCAATGACGAACGCACACTGGTTAAAAGATATATCTCACAGTGTGTAAGGCAATCGCGGGATATAATTTATATTTTGGGATATAATATATATTATATCTCATAGTGAAAAGCCAGCCTAATAAGATATTAGGAGTAGGCAAGGGAAAAAATATATCGAATCGATATTTTTAAACAATATCGATATATATCGCGTGATAAATATCGATATATCATCATCATTTGCATGATGTAAAGATCAGGTCCAAAATTTTATATTACTGACGGTTGGATGACAAAAAAAACCAAGCAAACGACAACCATTCACACATGAATAATTTTGTACTTCCTTTTACGTTTTTTCATTAATACAATATCTTAAAATATATCGGAATTGATACGAATTCGATACTCTAAAATAATGGTCGATATATCGCGATTTAAAATAGCGACGATATATATCGAAATTTTTATTAAAAAAATATCGATATTTCGATATTTTTTGCCCAAGCCTATAAGATATTGCGTTTATTTATGATAATAAAAATTAAAAACTGTGTTTCTTTTAAAGTTGAAAGTACCTATTTGAAATTATTACTTTCAGCTATGTTAATGGTAAGAATCAATTTAATTTTTAGAAAATGTTGACGATGCGAATTAATAAAAAGAACTTTATTATTTCATTCTATTTCTATGTAAGTAATATTTGACTGAGATTTACTTATATTTAGTAGTTTAAAGAAAAGATAAGTGCCTGTAATTTCATTTGTAGTTCTTTGGAAAAAAAAGGAACAGTGTTTGCAAGGTTAAATGAAATAGTGACTAACACTGACCTACACTTTCTCGAATAAATTCATACATGCACTTTACAATCACTTCAATCGGGAAATCGCGACTGCGTTACATAATTAACATGTCTAAATAATTTTATACCTTTTCAATTTTAGTAGTGATGTTTTAAATAATGTTTGTGAAATTATTTTTGGTCTTTTGTGCCCTTACTGTAACTACTGTCGAAAGTAAATACCGTTTGAAGCAAGTTATTATTTTAAGTAGACATAATGTGCGTACTCCTTTAGCAAGAAATCTAAATGAGGTGACTCCTAAGCCATGGCCAAGTTGGAAAGAAAAACCTGGATATTTAACTCCTAAAGGAGCCTATTTGGAGGGAATTATGGGTGGTTACTTTTCTGCTTGGTTAAAGAAAGAAGGTATATTGTGTAGCGTTTGTCCCACAGAAGATATATTTTATGCATATGCTAATACTGAGCAGAGAACAGTAGTTTCTGCTATGTCATTTATTGATAAAGCATTTCCTAACTGTAATGTAAAAGTTCACTTTAAAGAAAAACCAGATCCTGTGTTTAATCCTGTAATTCATAATGAAACTACTATATTTAAAAACATAGCAGTAAAAGAAATGAATACTCGACTTAAACATTTGTCTTTAAACAATTCATTGTTATTTGTAGAGAACATCTTAGATTATAAGGACTCGGTGCAATGTAAAAGCAAAAATGAATGTGATTTACTAGACAATAAAAATAAGATTAATTATAGAGTTGGGTATAAACCTTATATAACAGGGCCTTTAAAAGTTAGTAAATCAGTTGTTGATGCTTTTATAATGTCTTACTACGAAGGGTTTCCAATGAAAGATGTGGCATGGGATTTAATAACTGACAAGGACCACTGGAAGCAAATAATGGAAATAAGTAATGGTTATCATGATGTTATTTTTAACACTACACTTGTAGCAAAAGATATAGCTGCACCACTTATAAAATATATGTCAGACATATTTTTTAGCAAAGAGGAATCTCCAAAAATTACATTATTAATGGGACATGATGCAAATATGCTAACAGTATTAAATACTTTTAACTTCAAAGCATATACTCTGCAGAATCAATTTGAAAAAAGTCCTGTAGGTGGAAAGATTGTATTTCAGAAGTGGTTCGATGAAAAACACAAAAAAGATTTATTGAAAATTAATTACGTTTATCAATCAACAGAACAGTTGAGGCACGGTCTAAATTTGTCATTAGAAATTCCTCCTGAGTTTACTTTATTAGAATTAAAAAATTGTACAGCTGATAGTAATGGATTTTATGTATGGGATGACTTCATCTCATTTTTGAAGAGTTTGTTATAGGTTATGTATTTAGCAAATATGATTTTGTAATTACTTATAAAGGTGTTCCTACACATCAGTTATATAATTATATTTATAAATATATTGTTGTAAAATATTGTAAAAATTATAAAATGTTACCATATTACCATGAGAACAATGTGTGATAAATCTTTTCCTCACTAAGTTAAGTTAGAAAATGTTTTTGTGTTATACAGGCTGTCCCAGTAATGGTGGATAATCTGGTACGTACTTGTTTGGGCGGGGCGAGGTGGCATTGGTTCCCTAAAAAAAATTCTATCCCGAACGGTTTGTGCTCAACGCCATATTTTATAAAATTCCGAAAATTTGGACTTCTGCTCACATTTATGGACATCACGTCCGCAGTTTAATGCCTAAATCGGATTTTTTTTAGCTTTCAACTACTATGGGTAGTATTTTACAAGACGGCACTAAACATAAGTTCTAATTTTTTACTTAACTGCTAAGTTTGAGCACCTGTGGTGATAAAAAAACGTATGGGATCTGTGTTGCCTACAATTTATAAAGTTTGCCTACATCATAGGGATTCTAAAACAGTAACATACCATGTACTTAATGTCATTACTTGCTGTGCTATAGCCGTTAATGTGTAAAAGTGGGCATTTCATTACAAAATTATTTGCAGATAGCTTTTTGTAACATTGCGTGTATTTATTAGATAAGTACATCTGTCGCCTTTGAAAATTTTGCTTTACTACCTGCTCGCATTGTTTGGACGAATTATACGCTGTGTGAGCGAGAGAAACAGTAAAACTTGACACGTACTATTATGTACAGCTGTGAAAATATGGTTTGTACTGTTTTCCATTTCTTAAGGATGCGTAAATTAATGAAAAGAAAATAAGATAAGTATCTAATTTTTTTTACTTAAAATAATTTACAGAAAATGCTCGAACTGGCCTCCTCCTGCTCTTATACAGGCTTTATGTCTTTTTTACAAACGATCTTTCTAAAGCTTCGATATTTTTTGCTGCCTTACCCTTGCTGCGTCTGTGACGCTACGTCTAATTTCGTACAGTTTCAATTGACTTTGTATAAACTTGCTCCTTCAGGCAGCCCTAATAAAAAAATCTAATGGGTTAAGATCAGGTGATCTTGGTGGCCACGATAACGGCTCCATTCGACCGATCCATCAGTCACAGTGGGCTTCTTAAGTAACTCCTTACTTGGACGGCGTAATGTGCCGAACAACCATCATTTTGGAGCCACATTCTTCGTCGGATGGCTAGTGGCTCATCTTCTAATAAATGGGGCAGCTCATTTTGCAGAAATTCTAAACAATTGGCATCATTTAGGTTACCCGGCAATTAATAGGGGCCTATGATTCTTCCGTTTAGTATTCTTGTCCAATAATTTATTTTAAACTGGTATTGCGACCTATCTTCTCATCAAATATGGGTTTCTTCGCTGCCAACTCTGCAGATTATGGAAGTTAAGGTACCCGTCTCTTTTACACGTTGACTAGTCGCTCCACAAAATTTTACTATAAACCCCAGGATCTTCATCCATTCGCCTCAGCATTTCTCTGCAAAAAGTAACTCGTGCTGGGTAGTCACGTTGTTAAAGAGTTTCCACACGTGTAACGTGATAAAGATAAAGTCTCCATTTTTTTGAGTTTTGGATGTGCTGTAGAGTGCGGTACTCCAGTGCGTCGTTCGATATCTCGCATCGAAATAGACGGATCTATTTCAACCATATTATGCACAATTTCTTCAATGTCAATATCAGGTATCGTCCTCTGCTACTGGCACCACCAATACCGGCACCAGGCATTCTCCCCTCTAAATAAATGCCGTGCACTCTAACAAACACGCTACATTCACCATAGATAAAATGCATGATAGCATAATCTTGGGGTGTGTACATTTCTCGTGACATGACACAGTCCTGTTGTTATGCACAAAACAGAGTCCAGTAGAATGCTAAGTTGTTACAATTATCATCAACCAAACAAAATACAATCAAAATGCACAAATCATGAGTCCAGTAGAATGCCGACTTGTCACAATTATCACCAAACACAAAATCCAATCAAAATGCACTAGTCAAGAGTCCAGTAGAATGCGAAATATTATTTTGTAGCCAAGAGTCCGAAATAATAGAACACATGCGATGTCGAGAAGGTCGAGATACGCACTAACCATATTTAACAATAACCAAACACAAATTCAAAAGACGAATTTATACAATTGAGAATCTGTCGATCCTTTTTAATCGCATTAGTCCTAAGCACCGTTTGTCTCCTACTGTTTTAGAATCCTCATGATGTAGGCAAACTTTTTAAATGGTTGGCCACACAGATCCCATACGTTTTTTTTTCACCACAGGTGCTCAAAGTTAGCAGTTAAATAAAGTAAAAAATTAAGACTTAATGTTTAGTGTCGTCTCGTGAAATACTACCCAGAGTAGTTGAAAACTTTTAAGGGTAATTTAGAAACATCATTATTAGGCAACACATTAAAAGAAAAAAATCCGATCTAGGCATTAAACTGCGGACGTGATGTCCATAAATGTGAGCAGAAGTACGAATTTTCGGAATTTTATAAAACATGGTGTAGAGTGCGAACTGTTTGGGATAGAATTTTTTTTTAGGGAACCGAGGCCTCCTCCCCCCCGCCCGAACACGTACGTACCAGATAATCCACCATTACTGGGACAGCCTGTATTATATATTATTCTAGCACCATTCTATCACCATTACTATAAATTAGGCAAACTAGCTGTTTCAGGTATAACATTTTGTTTTAACGCAGTAAATATATAAATGAAGGAAATTACAGACAAAAGAAAAAAAGGAAGAGATTGTCATCTTCACGGTAATTTCTTTTCGTTTTTTTTAATGTATGTTACATATCTCCGACGTTACCAAATTTGCAGCTTAATTTGATTGAATGTACTGCATACTTTATAGTGGTCCCATATAAATTTTAAATAGATTTATTTGATGACAAAATTAAGTTTATATATTTGTTAAATAGTCCCAGTTCCATTATATTCTTGTATTTTGAGCTTGTATTTTGATAAACTTCATACCTTACTAAGTGATTATATGAACAAACAACAGATCTGATTTCAATATTATTAATTTACCTATATTTTGTTTGTTTTGTTTTTAGATAAAAGCTTTCAATTTGTAATTGCGTTTTATTTCTATAGGTTTACCTACCCATACCACACTTTATAACGCTAATCATCATCATTAAATTGTGTACATTCCTGGTACGTAGGATCCGGTCCGGACCAGCCAGTCTAACCGCATCCTAGCGATCTTCTCGAATAGAGTTGACTGTAAGTACCTGAACCATTATTGTATGGTTTATGTACTGGCAAATACATAATCCGAAATCAACAAATGTTCTTTTACTGAAATATTTTTATTTATTAACTTATTTTTTTTCTATGTTATCACCTAATATGTACAATTCATTATGTATTTAATATAGCAGCTTTTTGAAGTATAATGTAGAGGGTTTCTTTTAGGTCTAACAATTTCAGGCTATGGAGGAGATGATTTGGGATTACACCTGCTGTGGTGAGGACTAAGTAATACATATACTTTTTCTTGTCGCCAGATTCTAATCACTTCGTCTTTGAGCTTTTAATTGTACTTACAATTTTTTTCTGTGATTGTCTGGCTTGTCATTTCGTTAGTCACTTCAGTTTTATAAAAAAAAAGTACGCAATCGTGACAAAAACGCCTGCGGGCTCCAGAGCACAGAGACGCAAAGAGTATAGAAATTGAATTTTTAAACGCGTTGTGCACAAATTATCTCAAAAGTCGGTTTGTTGTTGAATGTAATAGAGGCGGAGGGGAGGTTCACAGATACGATATGGGCCATACCCTGTCAGTGTCTGTTCTGCAATGATTGTTTTGAAAGCATAGGGACCAACCTTGACACAAAGAGCGTGAATTTTACCACTAGCTGTAGCCACAGTCATTTGTTTAAACGCAATTGAGATACGCCACCAAGGTTTTTGTGCTACAGGCAACCATTTGAAGAAAGGTCTTCCTTCGCTTCGGACCTACGTCATGGCTGGACGTGTTTTATGTTAAATTAGTGCTACAGTATTTACCGGTTCAGTGCGGGTGACACGCCAGGCGTGCCATTCTTTGTGTGTGTTTTTAAAAATCGTTATAACTCGCTGAAATTGCTTTTTTGGAAAATTTATCCAGAATAAAATATTCATTATTTTGCGAGTATTTCATGCATGCAGCTTCGTTTCTGGATATTTTAAAAATTTGAAATTTTTAGGGGTTGACAACCTTTTTTTAACGTGTTACTATTTTTACTTTGTGGGTTTTAAATCATGTTATGGAAAAATTGTCTAATAAGTAAGAAATTTTCGAGACGAAGATACGTCGGAAAGAGAATAGAGAATAGCACTCATTGCGATCGCTCACAAACTCAAGTTGTAAATAAATTTCTGGAAAACAAGTCTTCTGTTAAAAAAAACCAATGCGTTTGTCTTATTGTTTAATTTTGGTTAAAATGGTTGAACTGCCGTCTTATTACTATCATATGGCCGAATAGACCTACAAAGTACCATGTGCTCTTGTGATATGGTATAAGGTTTATTTTTGCTTGAAACAGTTCGAAACCGTTCATGCATAAAAAAAGTTCGCTAATAAATAGTCTTTTGTCAATCCGCCGCCGTATAGCGCCGGCGTTTTTTTCCTTTTGTAAACACTTGTTTTGCTATTCTTACTAATTAGACGTTTTCAGATCTACTTTACTTTTACATTTGTATAACATTAAATAATATTTAACATTTGTAAATATCAGTGAATGATATACCTTTCTTTTTTTCAAATTAAGTTTCTTCATTGTTTGATATTTACAAATGTTATTATTAGGTGAAAATTTAATTTAATAAAAACCAAGGTTTCCAGGGTGATTTAACTGTACCTACTTATATAAATGATTTTTTTATAACAACAAAAAATTGTACAAAAGGTTTGTAATCTCTTTATAAAAAAA